GGGTGGGGCTGACAGATCTACACACATCACAATAAAATCCGTCTACACAGGGCTTGGTGGAGCCTCCCTTCATGCACCTGAGGGTGGGGCTGACAGATCTACACACATCACAATAAAATCCGTCTACACAGGGTTTGGTGGTGCCTCCCTTCATGCACTGGAGGGTGGGGGTGCCACCTCTACACGCATCACAATATGGTCCTGCACATCTGGGAGCAGAGATGCAGAGGGACGGCCCAGTGGACAGCCCTGGTAGTGCCTCCATTCGTACCACAGAGAGAGCCGCAGACTGGTGCCTGGACACTCGTGCAGATTAAGGTCTAGGGTCAGTAACATCTGAGTCCCAGGCTTTGGAGAGGGACCTTCTAAACAACTTTCCCAGGGGTTCTGCTCTTCACCTAAGTAGCTGGCGCCCACCAGCTGCCCCTGGCAGCCTGATGCCTTCTCTGTGTCCTTGCAGGTCTGGAGCTGGGCAGCAGGGTTTGCAGTGGTCAGTGCAGGTGGAAGAAAAGGAGGTGGGGACTTTGGAGTGATCAAGACGGCTGTTAGGACACTGGATGATGTCAACCGAGGCTGCAGAGATCACTGGGTGCTGGGGGTCAGTGCACCCTGAATCTCTGTCACCAACTTGTTCTGTCCCTCTGAAGAGGAAGAAGTGATATCGTGCCTGGTCAGGCCCGTGTGTTCTGTCACATGACCCTGCTCGTGGCAAAGCACGTGAGTATGGCCAGGGAGGAGCGGGCATCGCCGTGAGTCCCGTCCTCACTCCAGACCGTGTGAGAGCTCACATGCCCTCGTCAGTCTGATCGAACATGAGTTCACTTTGTGTTTGTGGGAGTCACGCTTTACCCCTTTCACAGTTATCCTTTACCACTAGACAAAATTCAAAAGGAAGCCAGAGAGGAGGTTTTCTGTTCCAGGAGGTATTAGGCACAGAACGGGAACTCCGTAAATACCTGTTGGTGAAGGAACAAATGAACCAATAAGACGGACAGAGGTGACCCAACAAGACATAAAGCCAGCAGACAGTCCTAACTGGAGTCTAACCTGCAGGGTGGCCTGGTAAGAGTGTGCAAGTCGGGTACCGATCCAGAGCTCCCGATGAAACCCTATGTCTTGGATGGGGTCGCATCTCCTCCGAGGACCCCTTCTTTAATGACCCCAAAGTTCCATGTGGGCAGAGAAGAGCAGAAACGCATGAACGACCTCAGAAGCCTCGCCCACCCGGAGAGAGCCGAACCCCAGCACAAAAGCAGAGGCCGTTAGAAGCGGTGTCGAATGGAGATGGTCTGCTCAGAGCCATTATCTAATTGAGAATTCTCCAGCAAATCCCTCTGTCAAGTGGAGAGAAGATCTCAATATTTGGAAATCAGGAAAAGAGAAGGTCATGGTGGTTTCTGACAGTAAAGAGCTATTACCCGTCCCTCCTGGGTGGGGAAATCAGTCCGGGGAGCACGGTGAATGGGATACTCCGTTTCAGAACCCAGCTGTCGTGATATCGAGAGCCAGGCAGGTGTAAATAATAGCCGCGCACACTTTTCATCGCCAGACGCCCCGGTAATTTATGCCGGGAAGACTTCCTTAAATCACAACAAAGATAAGGGCCGGGGAGGCTGTTCCCTGTCAGCCGAGACGGAAGGATGTGGATGAGAAGGATCTCATCTGCATGGTTAAGCAATTCTTCAACATTTCAAATTGTTTTAGAAGAAAATGAATTATATGGTCTTCTCAACCCGACACCTGGTGTGGTTTTCCAAACGATAGTGTCGTTCAAAGAAATAAATAAATAAGCAACGCTGCACATCTACACTCGCTTATCTTGACAAAATATTCCCATGCATCCTTTTGGAGCCTGTGAGCCAGAAAAAAAAACGTAGTGATGATTCAGAAATCACGTGAAAACATGGTGATACATGGAACCAAACACCAGAGGTGAAGTTCAGAAGTGGCTCTGTCAGTCTGTGCCTGGGATCCGCAGCCTCAGCACCACTGCCAACTTGGGCCTGAAGAGTCTGGGGTGCAGACATGGCCTGCACCTCCCGGATGGTAGCAGCAGGGCCGGCCACACCCACAACATGCCACTGTCCCTCGGCCTTAGCCGGTACAGCCTGGGGAACCTCCGGACACCGCCCAGGGTCCCCCAGGGAAAATGACTCTCTGGGTAAGAACCTTTGGCCTAGACTTGAGGTTCTAACAGGACACCCTATGAAATTCCTTATTAAATACCTCGGCCAGATCCAGATCTCGGCCAGAATTACAAGGACGACATCTTTCCTCCAACCAAATTCCAGTGGATCTGCCAACGGAAGAGCAGAGCCGTCGCAGAAACCTATACACACGCGACGGAGCCGCAGACCAGGTTCCCCCGTGCCGAACGCTTGGCCAGCCTGGCTCGGGGCCTGGCCGTCTCTGATCCCAAGTCACTCACCCCCTTCAGAGGTGGGGAGAGCGACGTCAGAGAGGACGACTTCTGCACAAGTCACCAGAGCAGACATCCTTAGGTAGAGAGGCAGACCCGGGCACGCGACGGACGCAGGCTGTGTCCTCAGATCCCTGCGGTGCCACCTCCAGGGAGTGGCAGCTGGCTACACCGCGTGCGGCACAGCACTGGTGAGGAAACGCCGGCTCAAGGCCAAGCAACGGTGGGGGTCAGGTCCAGCCTCTCACCACATGGGGCTGGCCCCGTCCACCACCTCGGGTGCTGCCGACACCCTCGTGGGCAAGTCCCCATGGACGGCAGGGCTGGCAGAGAAGGAAGAAAGACCTTCTGGCCTTGTCCGGAGAAGGCCATCAGTACTGACCCCCAGCGCCCATGAAATGGCAGGGGGGAGAGTCAGGCCTGGAGTCCAGCCCAGCTCTGGGCCCTGGCTCTACCCACAGGCTCTGCTGAGGAGGACAGGAACTGTGGCCACAGGTAGCTCTTCTACACACGTATTCTGTGGACCCCACTGAGCCTCCCACTGTCCCCAGGAGGGACCAGGATGCCGCCCTCTGCATTCCCAGGTGCACCGCGGCTTCCTTCCCTGGCCCTGGGAGCACGTGGCACCCACTCGCCGGGCAGTGAGGAGCGCTGAGCTACTGACCCATGGTGGCCGTGAGGCATCAACACCAAGCCCCATCTCTGCCGTGCTCCCTGCGTTCTGGTCCACACAGGGCGGATTCTGGGCCGTCACCTCGGGCCCAGTCTTGGCCAGGAGCTGGCTCCCATGGCCCTAGGCAGCCTCCTCCGTGACCCCCTGGACCATTCCAGCCTCCACTCACCCCACCTGAAGGCCTGGCCCTGCCTGAGCCCTCTCCCTGGCAGCCCAGGTTTCTGGAGTCCCCAGGACTGTCCCTTATCTGTAACGGCCCAGGGCCGGTGTCCTCCTAGGTCTCTGGCTGTGTGTCCCTTGGTTCCACACGTGTCCATCTTGCCAACACGTCCCCAGTCCCACTTAAACCCCTTCAGCCAGGCTCCAGGCCTCCCACCAGTTAGCCTCACCGTCCACTGCACCGTGACCCGAGACGGGCTTCTCTCACGGCTGCCCACTCCAGCGAGGTCACTCGCACCCCAAGAGGAAAACACAAAGCCCATAGTTTAGATCCGATATGAGCGCCTTCCCTCCCCGCGTCAGGAGACGGTTTCCGCGTACAGTACCCTTCCCTGGGGCCTGTGTGAAGCCGCTCTCCCGTCCCTCTGGGGCTCATCTCTGCTACACTTTACTCTTCTCACACTTCCTGAGGGCTTCATTTCACCTGAGGGATGGGCTGGATGTCTTAGGCTGGGTCTGGGTACGCAGGTCAGATGACGCCGGAAGAGGCTGTTTGCAACCTGCAAGGCTTTTGATGCTGAGGAGCGCTGGTGAGTCCCGTCACACCCCAGGCCTGTTGAGGACAGGACAGCAGCCCTCACAGAGGCACTCGATGAAGACCGTGCACGTAGGACCCGCCTCCTGTAGCTGTCCCTGACCAGCCCAGGTGAGGAGACGCAGCTCACCTGTTCCGAATATCACAAGTGGTTGTTCACAGATACGGCACAAGCACCAACTGTCAGAATCTCCACCGAACACACTGCTTGCAGAATAGATCCAGCAACTACTATGTGAGGGCTACATGTCTAACTGCATTTTTCTTTAAAAAAATCAAAAGCCATACATGATACTTCTTATCAAGGACAAATCTACCTCATCATATTTCACCTTGCTGGGGCCAGGGTGCAGTCCAGGATTGGGGATCCGTCTACTAGGGCTTGAGTCAGCTCTGCCTCTTGTTGACTTTCTGAACAACTGAGTTGCTCCACCTCTCAGACCCTGGGCTACTCATCAATTCAGCAAGTGTGTTGCCCATGCACAGCACCGTGTGCATGGATGAGATGATGTGCAGACCTCGCATCCTGACGCTCGGGCACAGGGAGCACCCCGCAGATGCTCAGGCAGGACACACGCCCGACACTAACCTGAGCAGCGCGCAAAGTTGGAAGCCTTGCTGACTGACTCCGAGGACTCTTATTGCTCTCGAAGTCAAACATGTCTCATTGTGAGCTCACTGTCACCAGTAACAAGAGAGCACTTTAATAATGGAAAAACTTTTTTCAAATGAAGTTGAAATTATTTTCTGGGATAGATGGAACAATAACATGTTTTCATTTTGAGGATGAATTGGACAATCGGTCACTGAAATATAACCTTACCGTAAGGGCAATAATGCCAAAAAATATCATATAGACCCAAGTTCCATTTTTTTTATGTAGTGGAAATACTAAATAGAGATCTGGATTTGTTTCGAATCGTGAAAAACCACTGTCAAAATAACTACGGGGTATACAACTCTGGGTTGCAAAGTGAGCATCTTCGCTGGGAACACGGCCGGCCTCAAGACGGAGAAGAGAAGAGAGGAATCACTGTGAGTCGGGGCTACGATGCCACCTGTGGAAAAAGTCATCC